TAATATATATATATATATATATATATATATACTGTATATATATATAGATATATATATATATATCTATATATATATACAGTATATACATATACATATATATATACATTATAACATATATACACATATATACATACTTATATATATACACAGATATATACATACATATATATAATTATATACATACATATATACATACTTATATATCTACATATATATATACACACAAACATATATATATATATATATATATATATATATATATATATATCATGATGTAATCCACGTGTGTTTCTTAGGTACATAACTCAATGAAAAAGACGATGAGATGTCAACAAATGTGTCACACACATGCTGAAGAAGACCCGAGGATTGGTTAAAATATTCATGTTTTGAATAAAATTTGTGTTCAAAGTCTAACAAGTCGTTGACATCTTATCGTCTTTTTCATTGAGTTATTTACATATATATATATATACATATATATATATTATATATACATAGGCCTATATTCAGGTAAAATGCAGGTATTATTATACATAAAGCAGTAAATAAGCAGAGATAGATATTTAAAGAAAAAAAAACTTGTATTGTATATAATAAATAATACACGTATTTCAGTTATAATTATATTTTAAATGGTTAATGTGCACCGTACTCGCGAGAATAAGTTCCCCGTTTGAATAACCGCCCCTCTCGAATAAGCACCCTACCAACGTGAAAATTTACTTAAGCGCCCCGTTTGAATAAGCGTCCCTTCTAATTTGAATAAACGCCCCCTCAATAATTCAATCAATTCTGGACAGTGGATGTTGGCATGATTTGAGGTGTGGATTGGAATCACATTCTCCTTTAGTCAATATCAAAATGAGGATATTTATCTTGGACAGATGAGAGCTCTCTGGACAGACAGATATATTTCCAACTTTTATCTTCTTACTTTTTTCTATAGCCTAGTCCTACTGCTTTTTCGACAATTTGCACCTAACAACACATTCCCATCTGAGTTTTCAAGAAAACCTGCAATGATCATGCAATCCTGCTAATCTCAATCGGTATGGCCAACAAGTAACCACCACCACCACTAATTTCATCTGCTATTCTGCTGTTATGTAATAATGTAGGTCCTACTCACAACATTCTTGTCATGACAAGCCATGCTCTCTGGACGATTATCTTTTCCGCCGCACCACCATTCGTAATTTGCGGTTACCTGATGTCCTTATATAATCATTTTTCATTCAAAATGTGCCTCTTGAATTTAATAAGTTGTCATAATAACCCCTCGATTTTCATCTATTTCCATAAGCGTCCCCTCAGTTTCTACTCTGTTTTGATAAGCGCCCCGTTCGAATAAGCGCCCCGTTTGAATAAGCGCTCCTCAAAAAGTGCTAAAAATATTTTAAGCGCCCGGGCGCTTATTCGCGCGAGTACGGTATTGTATGTGATAATGTATTGAAATAAAAAAAAAAATGTAAATGCACATATTCATTCCACTAAGAAAAAAACTATTGTGTTTCAGGTAATAACTATACAGGTATTATTATTATTATTATTATTATTATTATTATTATTATTATTATTATTATTATTATTATTATTATTATTATTATTATTATTATTATTTATTATTATTATTATTATTATCATTACACATTTAATGGTTAGTATGCAACATTCATGTGAAAATGTATTAAAATTAAGTCAACAATTGTTAAGAGAGATAAATATTCAACTAAAGAAAAAGGTGATTGTATTTTAGGTAATAACTATAACGGTATCGTGATCATAAATTTATTTTGAATGGTTAATGTGCAACAAGTAATGTGTTAATGTATAGAAATGAAATGAAAATTCACATAAAACAATCAACATACTTTAATCTGGAGGTAATTTAGTCAGACCATGATCTGGCTAAATGTGTTCTTGAAAATTGTTTATCTGATATTAAGAACTGGATGACTTGTAAATTCTTGCACTTAAATTCTTCGAAGACTGAGTTTTTAATGCTGTCATCTCAACAATTTTATAACCATTTAACTTCAATTAATGAAATTAAGATTGGTAACGATTTAATTGAGGTATCGTCTTGTGCTCTAAATCTTGGGGTTGTGATTGATTCGAAACTTTCCATGACCAATCCCATTTCCAATATTTGCAGGTCGTCCTACTCTTATCTTAAAAGTATTAGCCGTATACGGAAATCGCTTTCTCAGTCTGATACTGAAAAACTAGTTCATGCATTTATTTCGTCTAGATTAGATAACTGTAATTCACCGCTTGCTGGACTTCCAGCATATAAACTTAAACCACTTATTCGTGTCCAGAATGTGACTGCTAGGCTTGTAACAAGAACACGTAAATACGATCATATCACTGACGTATACATTGGACTTCATTGGTTTCCTATTCGTCAAAGGATTGAATTTAAATTGCTAATATTGGTTTATAAATCCCTACATGGTATAGCACCACAATATTTATCTGAACTAATTGAATGGCACGCTCCAAAACGAAAACTTCAATTGGGATTTCAGTTTTTGGCAAAGGTGAAATCTGTTAAAGAACTGCGATCAGATTCGAATCAAAAGTCAATAAGAAGAAGTAGGCCTGGAATTTTATAAGTGTCTTGTATATATGTTGTTATCTCTCCAATATATCTCCCCAAATAAAAGCTTTCTGGTCTTAGTTTATTATACTAGGTAAAAATTTGATTTACTCTTTTTGATGACAGTTGCCCGAATTTATAGGGTATATTTAACAATGAAATGGGCCTCCAGTTTTTTAAAAAAGAAACGCTGCTATTATGCTTAATGGCATCATTCATGACTAAGCTGTGTTGGTAACCACTGAATGCACGAAATCTAAACGTTACCTTGTTT